TGCGCATTAGTCACTTTTATGGGTAGTAATGGCGTATGGTCACATTGATCAACAAAATGAAACACAGTTTTCGAGATAATAAGGAAATGTAGGTATCTTTGTGAGTAGCATCGGTAATGGTGACGAAGTTTTGACTTGCTTGGTAATTTTGCGATTATCGTTTACACTATTTTGACTTGCAACACAAAGTAAATATTTCACCTGAGCATATGCTTTGTTATAGTGTGTATATTTTTTTACTGTCAAATGTGTAACAAATTTATTAAACGTCTAAATATTCAGTTATTTTACAAAGTGACTGAAAAACATTTCCATCTGTATTATTATGACAACGAATTCCAAACATTTTGATGTTTAATGTCATCACCAAGAGACTGAAAATGTTACGTTGAAAAGTACATTTCTAAGTTGTTTGGCTTTTAACCCTACATAATAATCTGTTGTGATGTTTGTAGGCCCTTTTGATCGTCTTGATCAATCTGGACAGATTTTTTAGTCAAAATGACTGAAATATTTACACATTTTATAAATTGCCTGAGAGAATCACATTTTACGAATTGACGGTAATATATACACGCTTACAAAGGAAAAGACCTGTGACAACAACGTCTATCGCGCATTGAAGAATTTCCCAACCAAGACGTAGAGAAACAAGAACGAATCGGTTCAAATGAAGGAAAACAAAATGCAAATATCATAATTACAACCTACCAAATTTATGTGTATAAGTTTTAGGCAGCTTCCTTGTTCGAGGAATGTATCCGTAAATATCCACACAAAGGAACAATATTCCACTCGTCTGCATCTGTACAAAGAAACGTATTCGATGTCACGTGTCTCAGTAACAATCAAATATTTTAAAAGATGTATATCGTTTCGGGATATTATAACCCGTGTTCGTTTCTCAACTGGTCGCTTGGATTGTTTCAGGTGTTTCACATAGTTGTCACGTCTCAAAGGTCGGCTGAGAAAGCCCACGTGACAACTATTTTCATAACGTCCACGGTTCCTAAAAATTCCATTGAGTGATAGATAAAGATGATCAATCAATCAACGTATTATCAGTTAACCCTTTGAACAAAGTATGTTGTTTTTACATCGGCACTTCGCGCCATGATATGAGTGTATTCCCTTTGTTTTAGTAAACCTAGACATGTAAACACTCACTCTTGACATATCCACTGTGCAAGATAACAGTGATTAATCAATCAACGTATTTTCTGTTAATCCTTTGATGACTAGGAACGATCCGTTGATTTACAAAAAAAAGTATATCAACTGATCATTCATCTCTTGCTGGGCTGACACGTGCACATTACATAACACACATTTCACCTCACTTCAAACCATGATTTAGATTGAATAATTACCCCAGACACAATAAATGCCAAATGGGACCCTTTGTCAGGTAATCTAAGTGGTGCTACCACTAATTGTACCTGTAATAAATTCATTAACTGAGCATCAAGTGAATGATGACAAATACACAAGTGTAGGTTTATACGAGAAAACGTGGATGACAACAAGGGAGTAGCAAGCCGAAATACGAAAATGCTGTTACAGCATGGATACTTTTTTGGTATTAAACTATAACCATCTGGGGTATTTCCAAATGACGACATCCGATAAGCTCCCTTGTTGTTTTTGTCTGTTTGTTTAGGCTGAAGAAATTAATTAACATGCGCCCTTTGTCGAAATCTTTATAGATCACAGTTAACCAATCAGTGTTCAAAAATACGTAAAACAAATATTGCCTCCAGCCTCCAAGTTTATTTAGCTGTCCTTGCAGACGGTACCCCAGTCTCTGGTCACGCTCAGTTGCGTTGCGTATCATCCGGGTACTCACGGGGAAAAAACAATAACAAAGGCAACAACCAGTCCGTTAGATCAGTGCCCCTTTAAGCTGACACGCCGCGATATAACTGGAATACTGTTAGATGCGGCGTTAAACCCAACTCACTCACTCACATATTGTGCGTTGTATATTGTATCTTGTATTGTATCAGTACCTCACTATTGCCATCTAGTGTACCAGAACAGGTGTCTGTTTTTCACATATTGTACATTGTATCGTATCAGTACGTCGCTATTGCCATCTAGTGTATCAGAACAGGTGTCTGGTTTTCATGTATAATGTATCATCTTACAAACTTACACATCTTACTATTGTCATACATGATGTATAGGAGCAAAGTGTATAATTACATCCTTAATCCTTGGGTGAAAGTTCAAGCGTTGATAGACACTTTCATCAGCAGGATTGTAAAAGTGCTAATATATGACTCAAGAAGGTTAAATGCAAATTAGGTTACAATAGTTTTCCTTGTGTGAAGATCATGGCAAGTCTGTCCCGTGTCACTTTCCTTCTAGACTTTAAGGAGGTTAATGAGACTTTTTTATAATCCTTCATGAGGATAAAAATGGGTAACAGGAAGTAACATCTTGGTCACAGATGAGGGGTCACTATGGCTGCTCACCATGGCAACTGCAGTCCTGTTTTCAAAATAGACAGAAGATTACTCTCATGAAAAAGTATTTAAGCAATGTTTAAAATTAAGAGTTGAATTCAAGGTGTCCTTGGTACCTTAATCATGCTAATGTTTAGATAAAACTTCAAATAGCAGTGGCATTTATGGCAGTAAACATCAATGATCCATCGACTGTCTTTTGATAATTCAACAGAACAAATTATTTAACAGCTGAGTAGTAGTACATGGCTTTGTGATGTACAGTCGGAAAGTCAGACCTTGAATCTCTAACGCTATACATGCGATATTTGTTTTGTTTCAAATTTTTGTTCATGATTAATCTTTCTACTTCATCAACGTGTTAAGAGTTTCTGAGAAGGATATTGTTAAGGTGAGTAGTGGAGACAGGTTAGTCCTTAAAAGGATAACAGACGGTAGGCTAGTTCTGTGAAGGGTAACAGATGGTAGGCTCGTTCTGTGAAGGGTAACAGATGGTAGGCTAGTTCTGTGAAGGGTAACAGATGGTAGGCTAGTTCTCTGAAGGGTAACAGATGGTAGGCTCGTTCTGTGAAGGGTAACAGATGGTAGGCTAGTTCTGTGAAGGGTAACAGATGGTAGGCTAGTTCTGTGAAGGGTAACAGATGGTAGGCTCATTCTGTGAAGGGTAACGGATGGTAGACTAGTTTTTAGAAGGGTAACGGATGTAGGCTAATTCTGTGAAAGAAAACAGATGGTAGGCTAGTTCTGTAAAGGGTAACGGATGTGGTCTAGTTCTTAGAAGGGTAACGGATGGTAGGCTAGTTCTGTGAAGGGTAACAGATGGTAGGCTCGTTCTGTGAAGGGTAATGGATGGGAGGCTAGTTCTGTAAAGGGTAACGGATGGTAGGCTAGTTCTGTAAAGGGTAACGGATTTGGTCTAGTTCTTAGAAGGGTAACAGATGGTAGGCTCGTTCTGTGAAGGGTAACGGATGTAGGCTAGTTCTGTGAAAGAAAACGGATGGTAGGCTAGTTCTGTAAAGGGTAACGGATGTGGTCTAGTTCTTAGAAGGGTAACGGATGGCAGGCTAATTCTGTGAAGGGTAACGGATGGTAGGCTAGTTCTGTGAAAGGTAAGGGATGGTAGGCTCTAGTTCTTTGACGAGTTATGGATGTAGGCTCGATCTGTGAAGGGTAACGGATGGTAGGCTCTAGTTCTTTGAAGAGTACGGATGGTAGGCTGCTTCTGTGAAGAGAAATGGATGCTAGGCTCTAGTTTTTTGAAGAGTTACGGACGTAGGCTAGTTCTGTGAAGAGTAATATATGGTAGGCTCTAGTTCTTTGAAGAGTTACAGATGAGAAGTTACTGTTAAAAGGGTAATAGATGAGTGGTTAACGGAAGAGGCATATTATTTATACAGTGGATAACAAAGATGGGTTAATTTGTACTTGGATGGGAACAAACATAAGTATTTTCAGGGAAGCAAATGAAAGTTTAATGCTTAGAAGGGTACTAAGAGGTGGTAAGCACTTGGACGGCAACTGTAGTGTGTCATTTAACTGGACCATTGATCCATTGCCTGAACACAACTGTTGGTATGATATTCAGACTTTGTGTTAAACTATTTCCTCTCTCTCATTCAAGAGGACAGGATTAAATTGAGGTTTTATCGGTGTGTCCAAGGCGTGGGCGCAAGGTCAGAAGTGTTTATGACCTGACGGTTTTAGGATAACTATGATTGAGGAGACTTAGCAAGGGACAGATTAGGTTTGTGTTTTATTGATCATGTTGGTGATAACCGGATGAGATTTGCAAGGACCACTAGCAGAACTGTCCGTCATTTTCATGAAGATATGATCTGTTTGCATTATTATAGTAAGCAAGCAATGTGTTTATAACAAATTACTTTCTATTTAGATAATTTAAGTTAACCTTTGAAATATATATTTACATATTTTTCACTAATCATTGTTCTTTTAGCTCGAGTTATCAAAATGGTTGGGTAGATGAAGTTTTAATTGTTTATGAATAATGTGTGTTAGTTTATCGTGATGGGGGATTGAACTAATTTAATTTGTAAAAATGTGCTTCAACTGTTGGGTAGGGTAAAATTGGGTTGCTTTCATAAAAAATAATTTTAGCATATTTGATGATGAATTTGTGTAGGAGTTAGTTACAGAAACTTCAGCAGGGTTGAACTGGGATGAGGTCAAGGAAGGAGCTTATTTTTTTTAAAACAAACCAGGAAATATTTCATTCACGGATTACATGATGTTGAACATTTCCAGCTTAAAGCAAAACACTACGCTGATTGTCTGAAGAGATTTAGACGCTTTTCAAAAAATCTTGTGAATGTCCGTGGAAGTTGGAGAGGGCTGGAGTGATAGTCAAACATGGGCAATTTACTCTGACGACAAAGCAAACAAGCAACACTGGGCAAACAAGAGAACGTGAAGTAGAGACTACATTATCCCAACCCACCACCTGCCACACGATGGGTCTTTATGGGACAGTCACGTAACCCAGAATGAGGTGTGAAGAGCCCTCTGACTTACCGTGTTCGTTCCTAGTGTTGGGTTTACATCCCACATCTGCTGAGACCTATTAATGAAAAAACGAAGAAGTATTTAACTTTTGGGTGGGGCCAGTTGTGAAATATATTGCAATATGTTTCCTATAAGTATGGTTGGGGCACGGGAGGCCCAGTCGTCTAAGGCGCCGAGATTCGATGTGCAGAGATGCGTCCCCTGGGCACGCCAGAAACCTATGATTGTGGGTTCGAATCCCAGTTCGCCCCGATTATGTTTCTAGGTTTGTCAGCATGTGTGTTAGTGTGTGTGTGCGTGTGCATGTGCATGTGCATGTGCATGTGCATGTGCATGTGCATGTGCATGTGCGTGACTGACTCCGACCCGACCACTCTTTGTTTTATCCCCCTAATGCTGAATGCCTGGCCGGATAATAAGTACCATCTTTTAAGGTCTTTTCGTATGCTATGGCCAGGATATTGAACCACCGGTCTTCCACTCTCTGGGCAGTCTCTGTCCACTACTGCCCACTTGCTGCCGCTAAACAAAGATCTGAGGACATCCCATTACGGGTCACGTCAGACTGACCTTTCACGAACTCTGACCGACCAAAGGAAAGACTGACAAGAAGTCGACATTAGCCAATCAGAAGGCAGCTCTCTCGTGCTTTACAGCACTTATTTCAAATTGGCGACTACGCTTCGAAACATATTTTGACAAATTCTCGTTTAAAAATTTGAAACCTGAACAAAAGAACATTCTCGAATGGCTAATATATGGTCTAGATTGTATAGATTCAGTCGTAAAGCCCGTAACTATCGTTCGGAATACCCCGTTTTAAAGTTTTCGAGGCTGCATGATGAGAAATCACATTCGAACTGGTAAGAGACGCTCTCATTGGTCGGATGAAAGGTCGTTCTGGCATGACCCCTAATGGGATGTCCTCAGATCTTTGTTTAGCAGTAGCGAGCTAAGATCTAGTTTTAATGAGATTGAATTCGTACTGGAAAATGAATAAATTGTGAATTATTTGCATGCTGCCATTTTCTTTGTGTACAATAGAACAATGGGATGTGTTATGATGTTACCATTTGTTAAATCGCACGAATGCCAATGCATAGAGATAGTTACTTATATGTTATAAATACGTAAAGAGCTGAACAGCTGATAAGTCAATCACGAAAACCTTCTCACCAATCGCGTGAAAGTGCAGGTTGGTCTCGTGCAGCAGTGATGGGTTTCAAACTAGCCGCGAGGCTGATCCCTCGGTATATGGTCTCTGCTTCTGGTAATTCAACAAATCATGTTATTTAACAGCGGAGTAAAACTACATGGTTATGTGGACCATTGATTGGGTTTTGTTGTTGTGTCTCGTAAGCTCTTGACCTTGAGGTACATTCCAACTGTGTAAGGGGTGGATGTCTCCAGGTGATGAGATCTCACCAGACAAGGAGAAGGAAGTGGAATTCCACTCTTCACAGTTTATGGCCTTAACCCTTTAGGGGATCATGTTACGTGGCCATCACTAAGGTGTAGGACAAAGCAAGCGGGCTGAGCTAGTAAAGGGGTGATACTGTCTGGTGAGCCCCTTTGCTGAAGAGCCGAGTGGTCCTCTACACTTGAACTGTTTACTTAAAGGAACACACTAATGTCTCTCAATGGATCTGTGTGTTCTACCTAAAGCCCAGGGATATCCTTGTCTTAAAGTGGACGACACAAAATATTAACTCTTTTCCGTGACCCTGGCTGTGTGGGTGTTCCTGAAATTGGTCAGTGTTGTTATTTTATTTTATTTTTGACCACTGATTTGTCCGGGCTTGAAGTCGTACAGAATACTGTCTTAAATCCTGATTCCCCTGCTTTCACTTGAACACCTCTTTTTTTTCCCTGTCGCTCACTCTTGTTGAGACCTCCTTTAATTCCCTGTCATCCACTGAGGTGGAGACCTCCTTTAATTCTCTGTCGCTCACTCTTGTGGAAATGCTCTTTAATTCCCTTTCATCCACTGAGGTGGAGACCTCCTTTAATTCACTGTCACTCACTCTTGTGGAGACCTCCTTTAATTCCCTGTCACCCACTAAGGTGGAGACCTCCTTTAATTCCCCGTCACCCACTAAGGTGGAGACCTCCTTTAATTCCCTGTCACCCACTAAGGTGGAGACCTCCTTTAATTCCCTGTCACCCACTAAGGTGGAGACCCTTTAATTTCCTGTCACCAACTCTTGTGGAGACCTCCTTTAATTCCCTGTCACCCACTAAGGTGGAGACCTCCTTTAATTCCCCGTCACCCACTAAGGTGGAGACCTCCTTTAATTCCCTGTCACCCACTAAGGTGGAGACCCTTTAATTTCCTGTCACCAACTATTGTGGAGACCTCCTTTAATTCCCTGTCACCCACTAAGGTGGAGACCTCCTTTAATTCCCTGTCACCCACTAAGGTGGAGACCCTTTAATTTCCTGTCACCAACTATAGTGGAGACCTCCTTTAATTCCCTGTCACCCACTCTTGTGGAGACCTTTAATTCCGTGTCACCCTCTCTGTCACCCTCTCTTAAATTCCTCTACTCCCACACACCTGATTTATTCATGTGACCTGGAAACCGGATACAGCCAATGCTATGCAATTATCCATTGTGTAAATGAAAGATTAAGCCAAAGTAGTGAGCATGCAATACTTTTTACATCTTCAGTTAGCTGCTGTTATAGTTTGGCAAAAAACGTACAATTTAGGAAACATGATATTAAAAAGTTAGTGTAATTCCTGACAGATTGTCAACTGGTTGAATTATGACTCTTCTTTATCATATAGTTGAGATTGCAGGGCACAATAGGTCTCTGTTTGTGGCGTCTACTCGGAGAGTGGAAGGTCAGTGTGGTTCAATCACTGTCCGCCTCATACCCAAACAGGCTAACGATTGTACTTGTTGCTACCCTACCTGGTGCAGCTTTAAGGGAAAATCAAAGAAGAATTTAGTGTTTTGAGGATTATTCTTAGCTGAGCTTACTATACATACAATTTTACTTGACTTGGAGGTCGGACTAGTGGCTAAAGTGGCTAAATGCTGGATGATCTTGGATACAGTTGCTCAATATGGACTGATCATGGGTACGAATCCTGGTTCGCCCCGATTATGTTTCTATATCTGTCAGCACCATACCCATCTGAGTGGGTTTCACCAAAGATCTGAGACTGGCATCACTTTCCTCCCACATCAAGCTGACACGCTGTGATATGACTGGAATACTGGTCAAAGCAGCGTTGAACCGATCCCTCCCAACCACCCACCCACTCACTCACTCACTCACTCACTCACTCACTACTCACTCACTCACTCACTCACTCACTCACTCACGTCTCAAACAATCAGCCAGGAATGTTAGTTGCGTATAAAACAAAGTGCAAGAAAATTAAGAAACAATTCCTGACCTTCTACCCATGATCCATTGGCATGCTACTGTAAACAGTTTCCTGAACGTAGTTGTTGTGTCCTATAAACATCTGTCTAAACCGGATCCATGAGGGTCAACTACAATCAAGCTATTTCTCATCCTCATTAAAGAAAAGTCAGGACATGCATATGAGGATACAACACACAATTGTATCCCAAATGCAAGAGTACATCACTTATCCTTGCACATTCCATCAGCATCATGTATTTTGTACTATGACACGACTGGCGACTGAGTGTCATTTTGCTTTGCGTTTAAGCCAATTGTTTCATTTTTTCCAAATGACCACCTCCATGGATAGTGGATAGATAGTTTGCCTGCAGAGAAGAGCATCAGTGGTTTGATTCCCGACCACATCACACCTAAAGACGTTAAAAGATGGTACCTGGGATTGAATCTCACCATGGGGACGTATCAGACCTGTGGATCAGTGAAATCATAGATGGAGCCCTGATGATCTTGTGTTAGCTTTCCCTTCTACCTACCTTTTCCATCGGAAAACTCTTTTTCTTTGGTGATGAAAATGTAGATCGCCTCTGTGATCTACTGGTAATGCATCTGCCCAGAGAGCAGAAAGTCCCGGGTTCGATCCCTGGCCGTGTCCTACCAAAAGACATTAAGAGATGGTACTTGTTGTTACCCTAACTGGTGCTCGGGATGAAGGGGCTAAAACAAGGACTTGGTCGGCTCGGAGTCAGTATACTGTGTGTGAGTGGAGTATCCATGTAAATCTGCGACATGGTATCTCAGTGGAGTAGCAGTATAAAACCAGGATAAGTCTGAACTAGTAGAAGCAGCCACACATACACTTGCACTGCATGTATGTCTTTTTGTAAGTGCAATAAACTTGAACGCGACGTTAAAACCCATTTCACCTGACCTCAATGTTATTTCAAAACCATAGTTATAAGTTAGTCAAGGAATAAGACTGGATGACATAGTATCTATTCCTATACTGTTTTCGTCTAAAGTAATTGAACAACAGCAGCAAAAGTGGATGTTTGTTTTTCTGCCATAATTGATCTATGCCAAAGACCTTGGCACACATTTCGATGTTGATGAAAGGACAGTCGGCCATGCTAATGAGCCATGTAAATATCATTCGTAAAATGTTTCACATAGTGAAGCATTGACATTTATTTTTTCCGCTCAGTAATAACAATGTTCTAGGAAATTACATAATATCCTAAGTATTTCGATTTGTGAAACTTCTGTGTGGCCAGACAGTGTTAAGACCAAGGGGTCATGTAATGGGACATTATTACTTGTCGGACAAGAGCATGTTGACATTTTGAAGCCATCAATCAAGTGACCTTGACATTTGAACAGTGGTTGGGTAACTCCAGCCTAATAGTTTCATTCATTGTGGATAGCTTGGTTTGATATATCCAGTCAGGTGACCAAGTTTAGCAGACATGTTGTAGGGTTAATGACCCAGTGATTTATCAAATTAAAAGGTTATGTTCCTAAAATAATGTTTTTAAGCCATGGGGGTCGACGGTGGAGTGTATCAATACATCTCAATGTGTATCACAATAGTTTTTGGGGCGGTCGGGTAGCCTAGTGGTTAAAGCCTTCGCTCGCCGAAGACCCGGGTTCGATTCCCAACATGGGTACAATGTGTGAAGCCCATTTCTGGTGTCCCCCGCCGTGATATTGCTGGAATATTGCTAAAAGCGGCGTAAAACCATACTCACTCACTCACTCACAATAGTTTTTGACAAGTATTGATACTTGGCAATACTAGCAATATTTTAGGGAAATAATCGTCTTATCCTTTTGAGAATTTATACACACTAAGCCTTTATTGCTAAAAATAACTATGGATAAATTTAGGGTAGAATAGTCTTAGGACTCCATAGTAGTAAAAGTGTTGTTAATGGGTTTGAAGTCTGATATGTTGGACTTTTTATGCATATTAATAATTTTCTTGATAAATAGTTGTTATTTATCATTTCTAAATTGCCGAATGAGTCATTTAAGATGCTGATGGTATGTGACAAACCACTTGATTGTTATATTCATGATATACCGTATATTACTGTAGATAAGCCGCATATTTTAGGACCAGAAAAACGATTCTTTACAAAGGGTGTGGCTTATGTAAGGGATACACTTTCCTGAAAGTTTTATCAGATCGGGATCTGTCAAACATCAACAAAGGGTCCGATACTGGTAGATTACAACTGCTTGAAAGTTTGAAGTTTGCTACGACTACAGCCATAATTGTTATAAATGATCAATAAAATGCATATTAGATATTGTCATGTATTTAACGATTCGAACGTTCAAGGTTTATTATTCTTCTTAAACGCCATGATCTTTACATGTAACAACATTATCGACAGATGAAATTGTCAATAGCTATTACATAGTTTTGAAAATTTAATATATTGAAAGTGAACAAGTATCTACCTTATTAACGTGGCAAATTAACAACTGAAAAGGCTGGGTATTCCGTTCGCCATTTGCCAAAAGACGTGTTCTTGTGAGCAGCCGTTTCCTGTGATGTCACAAACGATGGAGACTGTGATTGATTCCTGTTGTGTAGAAAGCAACACAAGCAGTACACAAGGAAATGAGCACTGATAATAACGGGGCCGATTGGTACTGTTATGTTGTTTACACAAACACTCAAGGTGTGGGTGCTTAGCGGATGTGATGGGAGTAATTAACTGTTGAGAAATTAACTTAATAAACTTGAGAAGCCAGTGAGTAAATCATGGTCATTCCCTCTGTTTATAGTTTATATAATCCAAATGGATTAACATACATTTGTGGCGGCAATGTTTGACGTTGTTTTGAAGAAAATTGGTGAGTTACTGCATAGGAGTATAAAATATATAGTATACATTTATGGACTGACAGTCTCATCATTAGGAGGAAAGATGAAAGTTGAAAAGCCATCTTTGTGACCTCAGACTCGGTCACAAAAGCACTATGACAAGGTATGTCCATCTTGCAATCAACCTGAATCAATTTCTCACTTTTTACTGGAATATCAAGACCATGCCCCAGCACGGCTTGGTTAAAACAAGAATTGCATTTAGATTCGCTATCTGTCGTAGGTCTCCCAAAGCCAAGAGATGCAATAGCAAAGCCCAAATTAACTCTCTTTCTGAGAGATGGACAGTGAACAGATATAAACAGAGCAGCCAAAGATTAAAATGAAATTATAACAATATACGAAAATAGAAATCAAATCAATACAAAAACAGAAATTCTATGAATACTGAAACTTGCAATAGATATGTGTACCCAACTCACACACATGAGTCCCAAAGAGGGACAGGTCAGCCAAAATTGCTAAGGCAGAAGGCAACCTCTTAAACACTTAAAGCAACAACAACATCATGAGTTCAAAAAGAAAAGGCCACGCTTACGATGCCGCCTTCAAACTGCGAGTCTTCACTCTAGCCGAGACAACAAACAATAGTGCAGCTGCATGAGAGATTGACATCAATGAAAAACAAGAGAGTCTGGAGAAAAGAGAAGACGTCACTCATGGAAATGCTGAAAACCTAGAAAGCAAGAGGGTTTACCATATCTCCATACGTTTAACCTGAAGACATCCTGTCTGACTGGATTACAGAGCAACGTCAGTGTGGATACATAGTTACCAGAAATATGATTCCACATTTGGCACTGACCATCTACAAGTCCAAGAAGTCGGGAGTTCGATCTATCTTCGACGTTCAAGGTGTTTTCATGATTCAAGGAGAAATCTCACACTTTGACAAAGACTCGGATCACCTCAAAGCTGCCCGACCATTAACTAAGCACTTTCTGACATTGAAAACATAGATGAGACACTTTTTTGCGTGGATCGATGCTCATGATGTCAATGACTGGATTGTCTGGTCCAGACTCAATTATTTACAGTCCGCCGTCATAGAGCTGGAATATTGCTGAGTGCGGTGCTAAACAACAAACAAACAAACAAACAAAAGTTGACTGCATGCAGTTTTCGATTTTTGTTGATGTTCTCTCAGTCAGGCAGTTTGGCTGTTGAGCAGTTCATGACGTGGTCTGATGTTAAATGACATGTCTCTATTTCAAACTGGCGTCATTGGGTTTTCAAAGCTGTTTGCCTACGCACTGAAGGAAAGAACTACTGATTATTGTGTTTTACAAGTGAAAAACTTTGTGTGTTATGTTGGCTGGAAAAGTTGCCTCGGAATTTAACTGGTTTCAAATTAAATTCCTGAAAATTTGAATGTTAATCTAATTAAATCGTTCACGGTAAATGCTATGGGTGCGATTGCACAATGATTGATTAAATAGACACCTATTAGTCAGAACGGTTGAACATCCAACTAATTGATCAAATGTGAAAAAATGGTTTCATAAGTATTTGGGAAGTATTCCATTTAAAGTTTTTACGTCCTTGTGCAAATGTATGCAAGTATAACAGCACCATATAAAGGCTTTCTTAACAGGCAGACCTTGATTAAACAGTGATTAAGCACAAGGAAACATACAAGAGAGTTAGTTCCATCAACAAACCACAAATACAGTCATTACTACCGGTACACTGGAACAAAATATCAAAAGGACATTTTCATGGTTAAGTGAATTTTGATAGGACATTCTTCTATGTCATTACCAAAACTGAAAAAATATTTTGGATGACCTAAAGATTTTGGATGAGTAATGTCCTAGAAAATGTACCGATCTGAAACACTGCTTGGTGGTGTATAATGGGATTATTTGAAAATCTTTGTCACAATAGTTTGTGTGGTTGTTGATGTGGGTCGGTGGAGTAGCCTTGTGGTTGTATGCTCGTCAGGCCTGGGTTCGCTTCCCACATGTTTCTTGTGTCTGTCCATTTCTGTTGTTATATTGTTGGAATATTTGCTGGAATTGTTGGAATTATCCTTGCTGGAATTGTTGGAATTATCCTTGCTCATTAATACTGCATGCATAGACAAACTATAATCGGACTGTTTGAAAATCTTATTCACAGTAACTGGTGTACATGTTGATAAGGGGTGGTGGGGTAGCAGAGTGGCTACAGCTTTGGCTTGCCATACTGAAAGCCAGAGTTTGATTCCCTACTTGAGTAATTTTCCTTGAGTATTGCTAAAAGCGGCTGGTGTCAAACCATGCTCACTGACTTTTGATAAGCCCGAAATATCTCCTATTCTAGACAAAACATGTTGAGAGTTTACACTTCTCATGCTCATGCAGGTGTACAGGCTTTGCTCCTGACAATGTACTGCATTGCTGGAAAGTCTATTTAAACATGGAAAAGCAGAAACACACCCCCAAAACCGGATTTGCTACGAGCAGGCTCTTCTGTGCCTTTGTTTGACAACCTACCCAGACCCACATGCATGACAGGATGTTAGCACTGTGCTATTTGTCACCCTGCTTCAACATTGTCAAATTATAGTGGTGCGGAGGTCGCAACTGTGCAATGCCTCAACCCGGTCATTGTCTGGATTAAAGGGACTCTCTGCTCTACATACTGGTGCCCATTTTAACTCCCACATATGAAATGAGGTTTTGTCACTGTGCAGTTAGGTAACAATAACGTTTCATTGCTATAGGTTATAAAATTGATTTTAGCAGACAAAATGTTTCAACGTCTTGAATTAAAGTTTCTAGGATTGCCCATTTTCCTGAGCCTAATCCTCCTTTAAATAGGGCAAGGCTGAGGTCCATTTGAAAGATTGTATTTCTTCATTCAACAACGCTTTACATGTCTTTAACTCATTTTTTTTTATCTCAGTCAATCCAATACTATGGGCAGCAGATTGACACAGGCACAAATTGCAACGTTTAGACTGACACTCAAAATGGCCGCCACAAAGCCCTTTAAGTAGCTCTGTTAGGTTTGACATATCCTCACAGGAGGGCAAGAACAGCTACCGGCCATCTTTATGTATCGCTGGACATCAAGGATAATGTCCATGTAGCTGTCATCCTGTGTCCGAGCTGCCCCATGCTTTGGGCTACAATCAAAGGAGTCGTTTACCATATCTGATGACCACAACAACAGGAGTCCTCATGGATGATGACCTTGGACTTCACCCCTGTGATCAGGAAAAGTTCGTTGAAGTGAGGGGCGGTCAGGTAGCCAAGTGGTTAAAGCCTTCGCTTGTCACGCCAAAGACCCGGGTTCGATTCCCGACATGGGTACAATGTGTGAAGCCAGTTTCTGGTGTCCCCCCCCCCCCCCCCCCCCCGTGATATTGCTGGAAAGCGGCGTAAAACCATACTCACTCACTCACTCGTTGAAGTGCCTGAACATTTGTCTTCTTTGTACTAGGAGTACATGGACAGTACGGAATAAGTTTGTTTGTTTTATGTCACAGTCAGTTAATTACAGTTATGTTTTGGGGGCTTGTAAATAAGGGAGTCTTGGCCAGACAAACAAGTCAGAACTATTATAGGCAATGTCCGGCTACAATGTTGCACAGTCACCCAAGTGTGTTCACCTGATTCAAGTTGGTTACTGCTTAGAATCCCCCTGTGAAGATCTGGGTTAATTCGGTCTTCAGCAACCAATCCTTTACCTAAAAGGCAACTAACAATATTGGGTGGTCAGGCTCAGTGACTTGGTTGATGTATACCCCAATTGTGTAGATCGATGCTCATGATGTCATTCACTGGATTGTCTGGTCCAGATTTGATTATTTACAGACTGCTGTCAACTACAAACAAACACATCACCCAAGCAACGAGTCTTGGGGACATGTTTAATAACTTGGAGCCCATTGGCTTATCTGTTTATGACAAAGTTCATACAGAATAAACATTGAAAAAACGAAAGACCTGTCTTCATAAGGACATGCAATAATCCAGATGCACAAGAATAAAGAGCTCTACTTGACCTCTCATTTGTAACAGATAATAGCCCCAGAACCATTTACACGATGCACAAAGTTTATGTTACCCAGAGGCAGTGTTAGAAATGAAGTCAGCTTGCCCTAACGCAGATAACACTACATAACGCATGGTATAAAAATTCACATGATCAAATTTTGCTATGATTTGTCTAGTTTTATTTACAAAATAATCAATGTCCATCTAAAACAAAGTATCAATTTTTTCATCCTGTTCAATTTATATTCTTTCATTTTGTTCCTGTAATTTCCAAAGAAACGTTACTTTTAACTTAGTGTAAACGGTACACTGTATAATTGTTCCTCTTGTTTATCAGATTTTACACAATGATTGATGTCTATCTGCTCCTTTTTCTCACCTACCCCGGTAAATTTCAATTTTAGTAGCACATTTTGATATTTTGTCCCTTAACAATTGTAAAACAGCTGATGCCTCTGCTTGCTTTCTAATGTGTTAAAATCTTTATTAGGCCTTTGTTATCTCTCAGTGGTTGAAAAAAAGAAAGAAAAAAACCCTTAAATATTTTTTTTTACTTCTGTGTAAACATATGTCGGTAAGTATTAAAAAAGAAAAATTCTTATTCAGTTTCATGATGTCCAAGGTCCTGAACGATGATTTAAATATGCTGATTTTCATATCTTGTGTGATATATTTTATTGCTATATTGGGTCTTCAGACTTTTGATAATAAACAACACCCACTAAATTGAGATTATTTTTTTTCTACATTCCTGATTTTTTTACACTCAGATCCATCCATAAACCAGTTAATAAAACCAAAAAATGCCTTGTAGTGGAAACGCTTTCTCTTCATGTACCACCTCTTACATTGAGTATGGTATCTTACTTCAAGGATGTTTCATGTAAATAGATGTTTGTATCAAAATCTTAAATAAAGATTATGTTGTTTCCTCATAGAATTGGATCCCATCCAGCTTCCTGGTGGAAATGCAGTGAGACCCCTGTGATAAAACACATATACCACCTGTCTCTGTGTTTAACAGGGCAGATATATTACACAGATAGTGCACCCGAGTGTGCACTGTTCCACAAAAGCTGTTGCATGTGTGTGAATCAGCTTATACTGCAAGTCGTGCCCTGCCTACTGCCTGCCCTGCTCTGCCTACTGCCTACCCCATAAACACTGTCAAGCGTCGCCTCACGTGGGAAATACAGTTCACTGCACCAGCAGCACCACCAGTACAGTAGTCAAATATAGCAAATACAGCCCATGCAAGTCTATAATGTTTGGCAAGTCTAGATTACTGCAGTATGAAGAGAGCCTCTGGGCTCCTTTTTATTATATTTCTATTAAGATAATTTAACAACTATTTTTTTTCTGTACGATATGTATATTTCAGAGACGAGTTAGTCTACCAGTACAGCTGTGAATACAGATCAAGGATACAAGCATCGAGGATTCCAAACTAAGTGCCCTCAGTGCACGTTTTGGGGGGAAAATTACTTTGTTCAAAATAATGTTTGGAAATTCTATTTTGTTAAGTTCAGGGGTATTTTATTATTACATTCAACATGACAATTAAAACAAAGCATTAAACCATATTCCTCTTATTGATCAGTGAATACAAGTGACCTCTACATATAGCCTAACATTTGTTATTACTATCACATGAATTGGGAATTTCTGTCTGACATTAGCTGCAGTTCGAGGATAATAGCCTCTGAGCAGCTCTAGACAAACCCCTGCAGATAATGAGTATATGTAGCTGTGTAATGATATATATGATAAAGGCATGAAATGGCCGCTCCCTTAAGCAGAATATACATCTGCAAATCCCATGTTGATTTCAGAGCAGAAATGGTGTCCTGTACCACATGCGTGTAAGAGACTAAAATGAAGAGCAGGTGGTGACAGTGTGCAGTATGGTTAATTATAGGGTATTGATGGTGTTGATTGTGATTCATGGTATTAACCACTACCTTGCCTGGCCCTGAGTTTTAGAACCTGCAGCGAAGTAGCTGGCACATCGCTCCCTCACTCACTCACTCCCTCCCTCACTCACTCACTCACTCACTCACTCACTCACTCACTCACTCACTCACTGTGTGCTGTTAATTTTGCAAATTTCTATATCTTTGGACACGGAAAGCTATTTTCCCTGTACATTCAGGTGCAGTTGTTATGGTTTTATTATCTTTTGGGTTTTCAGAGATTTCCGACCAGTGTGCTACATTATAACTTTCTCTAATTCTTTTATTCTTTTAAAATTTCTCTTAATGTCTTGAGTAAGTTTGACTTCCTAACAACATTAACTGTCAGCACTATTTTGTATGTGCTGAACCTGGCCTACTTCAAGCCAATAATCCTATAATAATGCATTGTAACCTAGGAAACATTTTAATTAATAAATAGGTGTAAATACACACCCACAGTCATTAATTCACCATTATCTTCAAATGATTGATTCATTATTGCAATGTTGCAGATAATAACTCTTCTTTTATGACGGCCATTAATATAATTAAATATTCAATTTCTGCTCCACTTATTGATTTGGATTCAAGGCTATTTTAATTATGTTCAACTTACATCCTTGCCTAGTACCAGTTAGCTTGTCATGGCCATGGTACCAGGTATTCATTGCTCACACATAGCTATGTATGTCTCTAGTAGATGCCCTTATATGGTGATTCCAAGAATGGGCAGAGTTAGTCCTTCCAAAGCAATACATCTTTGTAAAAGTACTTGCTGAACCTAGCACAATACATCAGCTATAACTTCCAACAGTCATAAGTCAAGCTTTCACGACTTTCAGTCGTTTACTCAAAGTGACTCCACACCCAGCATCCCAAAGCCTATGTTGGTATTTCCTTATAAGGAATGTTTACATCTGCACGCTCCACATCGACAAAGTCTATAAATGGACGGTTACAACAAACCTAAATATGGTTCACACGCTTGTGCTGTTGTCCGACAAAGCTGATGTGAGGCTTAGCTAGAGCTTAACCTGCGCAAATCTCCCCGTCTTGAATCGCCAATCGGGGGACAAGACAGTTTGGGGAAGTTGCCCAGCACAGTGATTGACCATTGACCAGTGCCCTCCATACCGGAGAGTCATAGCAGGTGAAACCAGTGTGAAGCTCGTTAACTGCATACCTGCACAGGTAGTTCAAGCATCTGGTTTAGGGGACATCTTGCATGGGATAGAGACGTCACGCCTCATTGCTTGGACCTCACATTGTGGACATTGTAAATCTAGTCTCCTGCTGGTTCCTTGTAAGTTTTGTTTGTTATTGCATTTTCTGTTTGAAAGTAATTTTTTGTTTTGCGTTTGGTAGATGTTTGCATATTTATGAAGTGTAAATATGGCAGTGATGTTAATTATTAAACGATACTTGTCAGTGGATAATTTGCAATATTGTAATGATGGAGTAATGCATTGGAAGCATATTTTCGACAATGCATTGTGCTTTTATGATTATGGAGGTTTAGTATCCATTTTGCCTCTACAGTAGATTGAAATTCAATTTTAAAATCCCACTCAGATGTAATTTGCAAGTCGTCTATTTTAAGCCCTTGGTTAAATAAATTTAACAAATAGCTTATTTGCATAAGAATATTGCAATGTCTCCACCCACTTATACAATACACGGAAAAAAATTGCTGTGGTTTCAACAAGTAACATTTGCAAAAAATAGTTGTTGTCAATTTTTTTGCACACAATTTAGACAGTGAAGCAATGTAAATTGATTTTTATATGTATGGTCAGTGTTAGGCAGTAACGTCTAGCACCTCCTGTCTTCAAGGCTGTGTAAACAGTTGTTTGACATTTGGGTGATAGAGAGAGGTGATATAGCCCTATACATACACCTGTGTATAACTTTAATATAGCATGGCTCATGCACAACTCATTGTCACCATGTATTGATTGGCTGTTTGTAGTGGATAATGAGTCTCACTGCTATGTTGTTCAGGTAAATAAGGCCACATTTTCTTTGCATTAGACACAAAACATATATATGATTCATTTACATTTAAGTTTGAATTTGAGAAATGATTTGAATTTTTGTGTGGATTTAAGTCTGATAAGAATTTATATATATAGGATTTCTGTGTATATATTTATATGTTTGTGTATGTTCTGTGTGGATGAAGATTGTGATAAGGGTCTAATTTGGATGCTGTAAAATTCGTGCAAAACCTTTTTTAGCCTACTTCCTTGAACTTGGCTCTTTGCATCACTGACAGTAGCTTTCTGTGTTATTCGACGTCCCCGTGGTCTAGTGGTAGAGCGACCGCCCCGAGAGCGGAAGGTCCGGGGTTCGATCCCCGACCGCGTCATACCAAAAGACGTTAAAAGATGGTACTTGTTGTTACCCTGTCTGGCGCTCGGCATTAAGGGGCTAAAACAAGGACTGGTTGGCTCGGAGTCACTATACTGTGTCTGAGTGGGGTATTCATGTTAAACTGTGGCATGGTATCTCAGTGAGCTAGCACTATAAATCGGCATCAGTCTGGACTAGTACAAGCAGCCACACGTACATGCACATCGCTATATAAGTGCAATAATCTTGGACGCGACATTAAACCCGATTTCACCTCACCATTTCTCTGTTATTCTAAGGACAATTACAATCTGACCTTACATGTCAAAACGTAATGTTACTTGGCACAGGCTTCGGACAAGTGACGTGGTCCCAGAGGGTCCCAGTTGTGTTCGTTGCCTCAATTCACTGTGTGTAGTTGCTTCCTTGAGGCGAATCCCAGATTAGGTTTCTCGGTTGGTCAGCACCACGTATCTGCTCATGGATTTCACAAAAGTTGAAAATGTATAAAACCTGCAAAACTACAGGCTTTCCTCCCTTATAAAGCTGACATGCAGTGATATAGCAGAAATGCCGTTCAAAACAGTGTTAAACCCAACTAACTAGCTCATTCAGACTTGCGGTTCTTGTCGATGCTGCAGCATTTCGCTCTGATAGATGATGAGTGGATGAAACACTGTTTGGATGGTACTCCTGGCTAGGTGCTTGTCCAAGCCACATTCACAATGCAGTCCACATTCATGATACAATCTATGGTATACATTCACGACGCTGTCTACATTACGGGTAAAGCGATATAGCAAGGTCACGATACAATACGTTTCGCATCACGCATATTTATGTCAAATCATGTGGAAAAACTAGCTTGTGGTTTGTAGCGGCTTTTCCCAGTAGTAAACTTTAAAAGCTAATTACAACACATTTTGCAATATTTGATTGACAAAACTGCTTGGGTAGGGTCATTAAACAAGTAATCAGTAATTTATTTTAGCAAATGATTCAGCTTGTATCGATACAGAAACGAACCTATCATATCATGGCATGAAAACTTAAGATGCATCATCTACATTCGCGACGCAGTCTACATTTGTGACAAAATCTACATACATGATGCAGTCCACATTTGCGATGCAGTCCACATTCGCGAAGCAGTCTACATTCGCGAAGCAGTCTACATTCGCGACGCAGTCTACATTTGCGTCGTGATGCAGTCTACATTTGCTACGCGATGCAGTCTACATTTGCGAAGCGATGCAGTCAACATTCACGACTCAGTCTACACGTGACGCAGTCTACATTCGCGATGCAGTCTGCATTCACGATGCAGTCTACATTTGCGACGCAGTCTACAATCACAATGCATTCTACATTCGCGACGCAGTCTACATTCACAATGCAGTCTACATTCGCGTTGCAGGCTACATTCACGACGCAGTCTACATTCACGACGCAGTCTAAATTCGCATCGCAGTCTACATTCGTGACGCAGTCTACATTCGTGACGCAGTCTACATTCGCAAGACAGTCTACATTCGCAAGACAGTCTACATTTGTGACACAGTCTACATTCGCAATGCAGTCCACATTCGCAATGCAGTCCCCATTCGTGACGCAGTCTACATTCGGGTCGCGATGCAGTCTACATTCACGACGCGATGCAGTCAACATTCGCAACTCAGTCTACATTCGTGACGCAGTCTACATTCGTGACGCAGTCTACAATCACAATGCATTTTACATTCATGACGCAGTCTACATTCAAGACGCAGTCTACATTCACGACGCAGTCTACATTCGCGTTGCAGTCTACATTTGCTTCGCGATGCAGTCTACATTGGGTCGCGATGCAATCTACATTCGGACTCGGTCTACATTTGTGACGCAGTCTACATTCGCAAGGCAGTCTACATTCACAATGCAGTCTACATTCGCAACATAGTCTACATTCACAATGCAGTCTACATTCGGGATGCAGTCTACATTCACAATGCAGTCTACATTTACAATGCAGTCTAAATTCATTACGTAGTCTACATTCGCAACCCAGTCTACATTAACAATGCAGTCATCATTCGTGACGCAGTCTACATTCACAATGCAGTCTACATTCGTGACGCAGTCTACATTCACGACACTTTCTTCATTCACAATGCAGTCTACATTCACAATGCAGTCTACATTCGCGATGCAGTCTACATTCACAATGCAGTCTACATTCGCGATGCAGTCTACATTCACAATGCAGTCTACTATGGTGGACACAGATTGTTCCACCAGCAAGGACATAAACCAAAACCAAACCAAACCATGTTTGGGTAACAAGTCTCCAAAGTTTTTTGGCGGAGACTGACTGATACACCTTGATTTTGGTTCTTGGTTTGACACCACCACAACTGCATCACATCCGGATGCTGAAATACTCCGCAGCATTAGACCAAACTCCCACAGAATTGCATTTATTGCCAACTATTATGACGATTGACAAGTAACCAAGTTTCCAATGTTAGTGCTTTCATGGATAGCCAGTCTTTTTTTGTTAAGATCTTTTTTGTTTGTTTGTTGTTTAATGCCACACTCAGCAATGTTCCAGATATATGACGGCGTTAAGATTTTTACTGGTATTAGTATATAATATTTGAATTGTCAGGATTTATTCTTGAATGAATTAAATTAGAACATGCAACAAAAACAAAATACTTTAAACACGTTCTATTTTGATGCCACAGTATCAAGTAGAAAAACTTCTGCTTCCAAGCAGGGCAAAAGTCTGTATGGTAGTTGCCTTATATTTGACTGATTGACGCCACTGTTAAAATGTGTTGGTTACACTGCAGTGGGAGAAGGTGTCGTACGTCGGAGAACTTGTACCCATTCCCATTCACTGTTTGTGAATTTAAAACGTTTGAACCAAACACTGTGATACACTTGTGGTAGAAGGGAAGATCTTTCATGTAAAAATACAGATATTTTGTTGTTTAATCACAGATCATGATGTTGATTATTAAAGATTTCAAGGACTTTTCTCCCTCCCTTGTACACAAGCGGCCATGTTGTGTTCCACACGCCCCTCCCAATGAGATGGATGACAGGCCATGTGACATTCTTCTTCCCTCACAGCACATTTCCACAGAGCAGTGGGAGACAATACTTGCATGACCCAGAATATCTCTCAACAGTTTCTGCAAATTCCAATCAAGGTCAACCAGACATGGGGATTATGCGTAATGATCGCACTAACGCAGGGATAATATTGCTTTGGTCACAGCCCATGGCCCACATTCCACTGTAAAGTCCTATAATGTGCATTTACAAGCCACAATTGCATTCCACACTGTCTATATGTGACAAAAAATAATTTGTATTGATGCATGGCGAAGTTTGAGGCAAGTCTTGTCATGTTATTTTTGGTATGTTCTGCAGATTTACTCTGTTGAGGAAGGTGTGATGGAATGGTTAGTGGGATCTCTTGGTCGGAGGACCTGGGCCCCGCTCCACAAAGCGATCTTAGCGCTATGATTGTCGTAAGTCAGTGGCAAAGAATGGGAGTTATGATCGACCTAGCGCTAAGATCGCTTTGTGGAACGGGGCCCAGGTTTGTTTCTAAATGGTTGAATGTTGTACAATGTGTCATGGTAGTGCAGGGATTTATTCGGACGGGCAGTTCCTTAGAGCGGTCTTAGGTGATCGTAACTCTAAGGGTCATCATTATTCCTATTAGGCTTATGATAGTCGTAGCGATAAGATCTCTTTATGGAACAGGGCCCTGATCAGAGTCTGCAACAGATATCAATAAGAGTTCCCAAATAAGAATTGAAAGGGGGGGGGCACGGGTGGCTCAGTCATCTAAGGCGCAGCGATTCACTGTGCGTTGTTGCATCCCTTGGGCACGCCAGAAACCTGTGATTGTGGGTTCAAATCCCGGTTCGCCCCGATTATGTTTCTAGGTTTGTC